TCTCAGATTGGAAGCTAACAAATTGTCTACGATCTAAGTAAGATTTCATCAACTCCCTAGCATCATCTGTGAAACCAAGTGCACCTAACTTATTTAATAAAGTTTTGTGGTTAATTTTATCGAAAGCCTTCGAAAAGTCGGTATAAATAACGTCAACAATTTGCTCATTACTATCAATGGCTTCCGAGAGGTACTGCGTTATTATAAATAGATTTGTGGTTGTTGAGCGATTAGCGACAAATCCGTGTTGATGCAATGACAGCTGACGCTGGAAAGCAGTGTAAATGCGACTGTACAAGACTATTTCAAAGACTTTCGAGAACATGCATAATATAGAGATTGCCCTGTAATTCTCAATATTTGACTTATCCCCACACTTAAACACTGGACAGACCTTAGCGATCTTCCAAATATCTGGAAATCTTTTTGTTATAAGACAAATATTAAAAATCCTAGTTAGAACACCAACAAACACTTCCTCACAATCTTTGACTATAAAGGACGAGATGCCATCTAGACCAGATGTTATCTTATCCTTTAGTGATTTAATGGCCTTCCTGACTTCATTTTCCTCAATTGGATGAAAATGGACAAATAAATTACTATGATTTAGTGAGGCAAGTAGTTGGAAAACTATCGATATTTTATCATTCCTTGCAAAAACATTTTCTATGATTTATTGGTTGAAGTTGTCATGGTATCAGTAGCTTTGTAATAAAGAGCTGTGCAATTTTCGACAGAAAATTTTTTTACGAAAAGCTCGGTATGAAAAATGAGAGCAAACAATGTTTTTGGCCATCTACAGTCACCATTTTAGGAATACCGCAAGCGACTCCTCCATTATAGTGCATTTGGATCAGCATATTAATCCCGATTCGACACAATTCACAATCTAAAAATGTGTACGTTCAAAATAAAACCATTATTTGGACGTAAAGAATAAATTAACGCGTATTTCCAATACACATCTTAATACAAGGAACATACTGGCAACGCGGCAGATTGACCCGTTAGCCTTGCTAGGCAACGCTGTGATGAGCCTTGCTATCCAAGCGTCTTCAGTCTCTTTCTAACATATGTGACCATACACACTTCTCTCTCGTACACATTGAACTCAAGCTGTCAGACAAATTTAGTTCTCAGTGTGTTTCAGTATTACTGGTATCTACAGGCCTAATCCCACGAATGTACAGGATTTTGTAAACAATTTGGATACGTATTTGAGAAGTACTGCAAACTGTGACATTTCGTTGTTGGTGGGTGATCTAATTATAGACTTATTGAGAGAACATGAACACAGCAATTTAAGATACGTGAATATGTTACAAAAGAACGGGTACATATCTCAGATTAATACACCTACTAGGGTAGATTCTAACTCATCTACATCTACGATTATCGACCACATATTTTTGAAGACAAACAGATTTAAGGTCTCTGAAACAGCAATTGAGTGTAAACCAATACGTTTGGAAAATTGTATGACCGATCATTATCCTGTTTTGTTCAATTTTGGGTATTTGAAAGGAAGTAATTGTATCATTAATAAAAACAGCTATGAATTTAAGAAAATTGATGAGAAAAAGTTGACAGATTATTTGCAAGTGGTGACTTGGAACAGTGTTTTTTCAGAGAGTGATGTCCAAAAAGCAACTGATAACTTCTATAATGAATTATATAAAGGCATAGATCATTCAACGTATTATTTAAAAATAAATAGTAAGACTAGAAAGCGCAAGCCGTGGATGACTGACGGTATTCTTACTTCGATCAAGAAGAGGGATGAGTTGAAACAGAGTTTGACGAAAGATAATGATAATTTGATATTGAGACAGTCCTATATCCCCTACAGAAACAGAGTAACTAATCTTATTAAGATCTCTAAAAATCAATATTATACACAAAAACTCATTTTAGCTGGTAATAACTATAGGAAGAGCTGGGATGTTATTAATGAGGTAACTAATGCTGGCAAAATAAAAAAAAATGACGTAAAATCAATTAATCGCAATAATCAGCAGCTGGACGCTCCCACTGATATAGCCTGTGTTTTTAATAAATATTTTGTTGATATAGGTGAGCAAATAACAAGTCAGATTGATCAATACTCAATTCTTGATACATCAGATCCTCATGTTGTCAACATTGCTCACTCTATGTTTCTAACTCCAGTGGATAACATGGAGTTACAACAAATAGCTTGTAATCTGAAAATAATAGCGCACCCGGAAAAGATGGCTTACACACTAAAACTATCAAGATGATCGTGAAGTATATCAGTCACCCTATAACTCACATTATCAACTTCTGTTTCAAATCCTCAGTAATTCCTCGCCAATTTAAAGAAAGCATAGTGACACCAATATTTAAATCTGGAAGTAAAGACAATATGTTCAATTATAGACCTATTTCAGTTATCATGAATTTGGGAAGATATTTGAGAAGTGTTTAAATAACAGACTTTGTTCTTTACTTGAGAAATATGACATAATATCGAACTGTCAATTTGGGTTCCGCAAAAATTGCAATACAGAGCAATCTCTACAAGAACTTACAGGACAAGTGCTTGAAAATTTTCAAGATGGAAATAAGACTGTTGCAGTTTTCCTAGATCTTCAAAAGGCTTTGGATTCAGTATCTCATACTCATATTAAAGAAACTAGAAAGTGTTGGAGTGCGTAGCGGAAATCTGAACTTATTTGAGAACTATTTGGCTGATCGATTACAACAAGTTAAGGTAGGGTCAGATTTAAGCAACATTCAAAAGATCAAAACAGGTGTGCCTCAGGGGACGGTTTTGGGACCAACACTGTTCCTCATATACATAAATGAACTGCTTCGATGTAATTTCAACTGTAAAATGATATCATATGCAGACGATACTGTTTTAGTTTGCACTGGTCATTCATGGGATGACGCAATACGGAATGCCGAGTTGTCATTAAATAAAGTCAAATGCTGGTTGGATAACAATTTACTTAAACTTAATATCTCTAAAACTAAGTATGTAACGTTTTCTCCAACCAAAGCAGGCATGCCATTACACCACCGAACATTAATTATAAATGATAGTGCTGACACTGTCGAAAGAGTTGAAGTTATTAGATACTTAGGAATCACTATTGACAGTAATTTAAAACGGCAGAGTCATGCCGAGCTTTTGGCATCGAAATTAAGGAGAATTATTCATGAGTTTTTCATTCTTAGGAATATTTTAAGCAGAAAGAGTCTTCTCTCAATATATAACTCGTTTGTGGGGTCTCTACTAACTTACGGGATAAGTATTTGGGGAGCCGCATACACTAGTACTTTAAAAATACTACAAACCACGCAAAATTATTTTGTCAGGACTATTTTTCGTATCCCATGTAGGTCAAGTTGCAGATTTGTTTACATTGAAAATGATCTTTTGAATGTTAGAGGTTTATATATTTTTGCTGCTCTAAAATTTGTTCACTCCCGAAACAATGTTCCAACCAGCCACGCTTATGAAACAAGAACTAAAATAAATATAAGTTACACCTATACCAGAGTGAGTAAATCTGTTTGCCAAAAATGCATAAAGTTTGATGGTATCAGGTTGTATAATAAATTACCCCTAGAATATAAAATCCTCTCGAAGTATAGTTTCAAAAAAAGAATTAAGAAGTTTATCTTAAATAACTGTGACATGCTTGCATCGACGGTAGCTTGACTCAACTCAGTAATTTCGTTTACATCAAATGTTTTTTTTTTATTTCTTTTTTGTTACATTTGCTCATAATATACCTTATAACCAATAGCCATGCATTGAATTTGTATACTGTATGACACACACAAGCTTATAGCTTAGGTGTCTATTCTTTTGTAGTAAATTGTAGTACTCTTGTTTCTCTGCTTAATCTTTACGCAAAATTTTTATTGTTTAAACAACATAGTTTGACCTTACTCGAAATATCCCTATATTATCATATTTCAGATATTCATATTTTATGTACTCTATATTTATACTTCTGAGTGTTTTTAGTATGCTTCTGTACTATTGCTATGAATTTTAGATTTGTTTATGTAGACACGTAATTTAGGATTTGTGACGACAAGATTCAGACATTTACCCTTTACGAAAGTATCCAGAATTTTCACAATTCATATACCGTTACTTGCTGGTTCTAGATCTGATGCTAGTATCTTTGCTCAGATTTCTGTTGCAATCTTGGTTATTCAGGGTAGCAAGAGTATACAAGCTCATGTATTCTTGAAGCTTTTTTTATTTAAATTGTACTATACTGAAGGTTGTTTTTTTAATTTGTAAGTTATATTGGTTTTTGAATTTGAATTTGAATAAACTAACTTTGAATATAAAAAAAAATTAAAAAAGTGTATATATTTGGCGATTATAATATGTTTAGAGGTGGAATTATATTATAATATGTTTAGACGTGGAAGAAGTAAGTATACAATATAAAGAATGCAACAAAGGAAAGGTCGTTATAGGCTTGAAAAGTTTTATAATTGACATTCATAATATCACTGTAAAGGAATCCGTATAAATGATAAAGCAAATTATCAACAAGAGTTAAGTAGATATACTTTGTGAAAATTTCAAAATAATTTTGAAGCTGTCACCCTTCCGATTTTGAGCGCGTCGCAAATTGTATGAGATATGATAGCAAGAAGAGTGTAGGGATACCGCATCCGCTTCAAAATTCAATCACGTCTTTCCCTTGCTTATACCTGATTGCATACAGAACTTCATTCAAATAAAATTATTTTCATCATTTTCTTTGTCGCTGATATGTTTTTAGGAGCTTCTGACCGTCAAACTGATATTTTTTGCGGATCAGCCCTTCCTCAAAAGTTTCCTGATATTCCACATCCATTCTATCTGAAGCATTGAGAAAAAAGCGTACATCGCAAATAACTTAAAGCTAATAATAAGATAGTTAATCCTGTTAAGAATAATACCCGGACTCGGAATCCTTATTTAAGCAACGGAGTTTTCTTATTAAATTAAACGTTAGGCATCTTAGAAGAGAGTATAAATCGGGGGATACTTCCTAGAAATTTCTTGAGTCGCGACCCAAGTGCGTCTTCAAGAACATCTTTAATGTGAATTTGCGGTGATTGCAATTCGGTATTACACTTTAAGACCTTTGCCGTTCTCTGGATAGGGTAAGTAGCAGCACATGAAATAACGTTAATGAATAGTGGGAAAGGTTTTGATTTGCAAAGATTTCGGCGACATTACGTGATTTTAATGCACAAGTGGCTTAGCGGCTATTTTATGTGAAACGGACAGCCAAGAAAGTCAGGTTTTAAAAGTTGGTCATTTTGGACCTATTTTACTAGGTGTAAATACGAAAAACCGTTTTTTTTTGGCTGAGTTAGCTTCATATTTGAAATTGGGATCTCTTCGGAAACTATTTTCAAATTGATAAGCAAATCAAATTTGGAATTAAAAAAAAAAGTGCTAAGTAAACATTTTAAACTAAAATTTGGACAACAACGCATTCTTCATTTTCAATTATTTTACATCAAAATACCTAAGGTGTGTTTAAAATGCATGGCAACTTTTGAAATGTATACACATTAATTAAGGCGGCACGGTATTTTTATAGACAGGGTTAGAGATTCATCAAGACAAGTAGCTTGAATTTTTTCTTAAAGACTTGACTTGACTTGAAAACTCAAGCTTTTAAAAATTTGATATGTGACTTGACTTGATTTTCGGACTGAACAACTTGACTTGATATCAAGTAAAATCAAACTACTTGATATTACTTGATACTAGATCTGTGAAATGCGCATCGAAGCGTTAAAATAGGGGATTCACCGAGGTTAAATAATAGGGGATTCACACAGCAAGCAGGCACTCGATGACGACGGACGTGCTCGTGCGATTAGTAGAGCAGCGTTGTTCAATGATAAAGGGTGACCGCAAAAGAATTATTATGTCTGATTTAAGAAGTGATTTGTCAGAAATGGAGTCGGAACCTTTTCAAAGCAGCGGCTCAGAATATATCGTAAATGAAAAAGTGTCAGAATCTGATGACACCGAACCAGAAGAAGAAAGTGCAGGGTCGGTGCCACCAAAGGGAAAACGAGTTAAAGCTAATAAAACGAATAAAATTAAGGATTATTTCATAATCGAGCAGGATCCTAAGAGTAAGAAAACTACTGACAAACAAGGCAAATGTACCCTATGTGTCGTAAAAAATACAGTTTTAAAAATGAAAAACATTTTTGGTAGATCCAGCCCACCTAAATCCGAAGCAGAAGCCTCTGCCAGTTCGAATAGGCGTAGCACAATTACAAATTGGCTTGAGAAGGTAAAAAATTAATAATAATTAGATTTGAGCTGAAACTAAATAGTAAATAATTGTACAGGGTGGGCATTTTATTAGGGGCGTAAGCATACCTCTTCCTCAGAAACTACAGGGTGTAGAAAAAATAATTATATAAAAGATTCTTGGTAATCAAAAAAATTAAATTACCTATTAGAATTTTATTTATACAGGGTGTCCGAAAAGTGCTGCACCAGAATCCTTCATTTGTTTTTTCCAACTTCATCCATTTTTGAAAAATCTTTAAAAAAACACATAAAGGAATCATGCTAGAAAAAACAAATGCCTAATTTGGATTGCTTGATCACGAAAACCCCTTAAAAAGTTATTTTTTCCAAAATCCGGATCAGCTCATTTTAAGCCACACTTATAGTTTTATAATGTTTATTATAATCATTATAGGTTCCTTGATTTTAAAAGACATTCTATATTAAAAAGGTTTAATAAATTATTAATAAATATCGAGGTAGGCGTAATATCAAAATATTAAATAAAAGGCGGCTCTTGAACGGAAAAAATTATAACTTTCGGATAACAATTCTAAAAGTTTTTTAAATATAAGAAGTACTGTCGACTTCTAATTTTGAACCGCTTTTTTATTATATAACATAATTTTTGTTTGTTGTTATAATTGTGTAATGATGTCTCATTCAAAATTCTGATTTTGAAGTCCTTGCAGCAGTTTTTGGGCACCCTGCATCAATAAAACTCATCAGAGCATATTTACAAAAATCTATATTGACTTTAAGACATTCTACTCAAAATTGTGGGACATGCTATAAATTTTTATACAGGGCATTTCAAAAAATTACTTACATTTTCATTTAAAAGTGGGATATTATGACGTAAACATTCATGCACCTTGCGCTGCATTTTACTAACTCCAGTTTTGTTTATTTTGCAGACCACTAGTTGTTCAGAAAACTTTCAACAAGACAAATTTCAAAAACTACTTGTGGAATATATAGCACAGAAGTATCTCCCTTTCAACTTTTTTGAAGATGCTATAAGTGGAAAAATGTACAAATTCCTAAATCCAAAGGCAACTCTACCTGGTCGGAATCAAATGAAATCTTTGACATTAAAAACATTTGCAGCAGCGCAGCAAACAATTAAGTCATTTTTGAAAACATGTAATTCAAAAATCTCGTTCACAATCGATGGATGGTCTTCTTTTATTATGAAGGGGTACTATGGTATTACCGCCCATTTTATCGATAAAAATTGGAAACTTCATTGTATCCTTCTAGATTTTGTGCCAGCACATGGGCAACATACTGGTAATGCAATTGCAAAGCTATTTTTCGAAGTATTACAATTCTACGATGTTACAAAATGCATACAAGGTATTACTACCGACAATACAAATAGTAATTTTACGTTCATCAGAGAACTTCAAACGCATATTTCTGAAATCGATACAAAAAATATCCACTTTGTATGTTTTGCACACATCTTAAACTTGGCAGCTAGAGATTTTATGAAAATCCTTGATTCTGAGGTTGAAGAAACCGCCAACATTTTGACAGATATATCAGATGATGATGATGATGACTGCCAAGTTCCGCCCTCTTCTGTAAGAAAAATCCATTCCCTTGCTAAAAAATTAAAAAACTCTGAACATTTACGTGAAGATTTTGAAAAAGGTTGCACCACTTTAAACCTGAAATTTACTATGCCAAAACTTGATGTCATAACAAGGTGGAACTCCACGGTAGACATGTTGAGATGGAGTCTAAATATGAGAAACGCACTTAACATCCTTTGTGATAATGTAGAAAATTTAAAAACTTTAAAGCCAACCGACACAGAATGGTCGTTAATTGAACGAATTTGCCAGTACCTTAATGTTTTTAAGAGTATTTCCATAATTTTAGAAGGTGAATCATATGCTACTTTACCCATGGTAATAATCGGCATTAATATGTTGCTGGATAGACTAGAATCGTGGGCTATGGTACTTGACAATAAACCTGATCGAGATGAAATCGATGAAAAGATTATAAATAGAATTCAAGCGGCAAGGGACAAAATCATTAGCCATTACGAACGGACTAACTGGATGTACTGTGTTGTCCTGATTTTAGACCCCCGACATAAAGTGGATACATTCTCCAATACAAGTTGGGGAAAAGAGTTGCAGATAGAAGCAATTAATCATTTTAAAGATATTTTTAAAGCACGATATTTTAGGGCTGACTCTCTGCAAATTTCTGAACCATCACTTCAAGTAGCAGCATCTTCAAACCCTAGTAAAGATAGTAGTGTCGAAAAGTTTGAAATAGATCTACTAAGTTTGTTTAATAGAAAACCTGCCCATAATGCAGACGACGATATGGCCTGGCGTTACGAAATCGACAAATATATTTCTGACCCAAGAGCTGTCAGTACTGAAGATATTTTAGAATGGTGGAAGAGACACGAATGCATTTTTCCAAACCTTGCCGCAATGGCCAAAGACTTTTTGGCAACGCCAGCTTCTTCAGCTCCAGTTGAAAGGCAGTTTTCTAGAGCTGCCTTAACTCTTACCAAAACAAGAAATCGATTAGGCGATAACTCCGTTAGAAGCCTTTTGTGTCTCAAATCATGGATGGCAAATGAGGATATTAAAGATTTATTTTAGATATTCATTTTCATGTTTGTTGATTTTCTATTGTTTTATTGTCAGAATTCAGAATATTTCGCATTTTTATTTCATATTATTTCATGTATTATTAAACTGAGTTTGTTAGAGTTTTCGTTTTTAGATGTTTTTTAAATAAAAGATTAAATCTATATATACATAGATTTTTATTGTTATTCCGTTTTGGCAGTTGAACAGATTAATATCAAAAAAGTACATTTTTTCAAGAAAAATCAAGTAGTTAGCTTGAAAACTTGATTTTCAAGTTACTTGATGTGTAACTACTTGACTTGACTTGAATTTCAAAAACAAATACTTGACTTGATCTTGACTTGATATCAAGTCAAGTCAAGTCAATTAGCTTGAAAATCATGTCTAGTCGTGAATCTCTAGACACGGTGGCCAACTAAGAGTGCGTATCTCGATATCTTGTTCTTGACCTTAAATTTACCAAAGAGAATTTTATACGGAAATCCCTTAAATTTATGTTTTTAATGTTTTTCAATTTTCATGGGAATAAAATCAGCCTCTTTGGAAATATACTAAGTGACATATAAATCCGAACACCCAGTTTAAATGGTTTTATTTTAATAAAAGTTGGTGAATGTATTTATCTTACTGTAAATAACAAGTGAAAAAATTTTCAGCCTTATCAGTTGGACATTCCGGTTTTTATACTGCTTTTTTTTAATTCACTAACGCTCTAAAAATGAATATTTCAGCCGCAGTAAAGAATCAACGTTGGCGGATTTTGGTTCTTGACATCCTTTACGATCGGTTACGATGCCTAGAGTACGGAGACCTATACGATTTTGTCAACTTAGTGAGTTTGATAGGGGCCGTATAGTGCGACTTCGGGAAGCTGGACTTTCTTTTCGGGCAATTGCAGCTGGAGTGCAAAGAAGTGTAGACACTGTGGTTAGGTGTTGTCAGGCATGGCTTCGAGAAGGCCGTACGCAAAGAGCAAGGGGCACTGGACGCCGCCGTAGAACAACAGACCGTGAAGATCGCCGCCTAAGATTATTGGCCTTAAGGGACCGTTTCTCCACTACCAGGTCCATTGCAAATGAATGGTTTGCAGAACACGGAAGACCTATTGGCATGCGAAGTCTTTACCGACGAATGAGAAGTTTTGGCTTGTTTTCATACCGGCCACACTGGGTCCTCCCTTTAAGTCGAGAACACCGACGTAATCGCCTTGAGTGGTGCAGACAACGGTCACTCTGGGATCAGGAATGGAACATTTGTTTAGGCATGCACGATGGTCGTGCCAGGGTTAGAAGGCGACGTGGTGAAAGGAGGAATCCACAGTTTTTTGTTGAAAGACATGTTCATCACACTGTTGGAGTTATGGTTTGGAGTGCTATAGCTTATGGTTCCAGGTCACCTTTAATCTTCATCAGAGGTAACATGAACGCGCAGCGTTATATCCACGAAGTTCTAGAACCCCATCTTTTACCCTATCTTGACACCCTGGCAGATCCAACTTTCCTACAAGATAATGCCCGGCCACATGTTGCAAGAGTCACAATAGACTTCTTTCAACATAATGATGTCACATTGTTACCATGGCCACCAAGATCTCCCTACTTATCCCCAATTGAGCACGTGTGGGATATGATGGGTAGGAGATTGCTCAATTTGCAACGTCCTCCTCAGACTCTAGAAGCACTTCGAGAGGAGTTGGTGGTTGCCTGGAATGAGATACCACAGGAGGACATTGACCACCTGATCAGAAGCATGCCTAGGCGTGTTGGAGAATGCGTAGCACATCAGGGTGCATCCACACATTATTAAAGGTCAAAGGGCTTTAAAGCAGTGCAATCATTTTGAAATTTTTATCATTTACTTATTATGCTTCATTAAGTACTTATACAAAATTTTATTAAAATAAAACCATTTAAACTGGGTGTTCGGATTTATATGTCACTTAGTATATTTGTTGTTTTGATAGTGACTGTTCGCAATCTTCACGTGGTGAAAGTAACGTAGTGAATGCACGCTGAGCTCTACTAAATCCTGGATTCAGAAAAAAAAAACAAAAACAGACGTATTGCAAATAGTTTAAACCATATCGTTTATTTTGTACCGCTCATTACTTTGGGAATACGCATGTTAGGTTCTGTTATAGGTGGTGTAAAACAAATTTATACGTTTTTTCCAGTGTCACCATGTCGGTCATGGGAGAGCCCAATGTTGCTAATTGGGCTGCCCAAAGGGCATCCGGCTTTGGAGGCAATATGACGGTCGTGGACAAAGTGCCACCTGACATGTTGCATCTTGTTGACGCCTATTGGTAAGTACGATCATGAAAATGCTCATTATAAATTGCACTCAGCATAGGCCTACCAGATTTTGTTAAATACTCGTAATCGTAGTTTTACAATATTCCGCCATACCCGTCTAAGAACATCCTATATTCTAGGATATCAATTTTACCGGTGAGGCGAAAGAAAATTTGAAACTTTGACAATGGTGGAAATTGACGAAATGATCTTTAGACATACTAATAAATCCTTTTTCATTCTATTCTATCGGTGTTTACATTAATAAAAAGCATAAATGATAGCCGCTGTGACAATTTGTTTTACCCTTACATTTGTAATACAAGCATTGAGTGTAAATCACCGTTAAGGTATACAGGGTGTAAACGTTATGATAGTCATTATTTAAATGGGTGATAGAGGGTCTAAAAAAGTTTCATATAACATGGGTGTCAAAACGGCATTTTTTTAGAGAAAAGCGACTTTAAGGTAAAATAAAATCTGACAACGCCGCATTGCCAGACGCAAATTACGACGGAACGCAGTATAATTAAAGATGGAGTTTGTTATTTTTGGCTCTTAGGTATTATTTAATTATTTGATAATGTACTCGTAAAATGCAAACAATTAAAAAAACGGACTTACCACTAACTGTCTCAGCGCGTCACCTGATGTGTGAAAGTTTATCGAACGTATTAAAAAGATCCACTTATAAATAGGGAACCCAATTTTGATACATACATTGTTTTTCTTTCTAAAACCCACACTGCACTTTTTTGTATTTAACGAAGGTGTTCAAAATATCGTCCTCCACTTTCCACTCAAGCTTCATTACGACGAACCCAGTTTCTTCTTACTCTAGGTCCTCGAAGTTGTCCATTTATTATTTCAGCCGCATTAAACATTTTTTCGCGAAGTTGTGCTTCAGTTGTTATTGGTCCAGCCCCATAAGCCATCCCTTTAAGTTCTCCCCAATACCAGAAATCCATCGGATTGAGGTCAGGAGATCTTGCTGGCCATTTTCGATGATCAGGAGCAGTTCGACCGATTTCGAGCGATTTGGATAATGTTCATTCAAATAGTGAATGACTCCTCTAAAAATGTGTGGTGGTGCCCCGTCATGAAGAAACCACAAATCCTGTCTCCGTTGTAATGGCATGTTGTCCAAGGTCTGTTCCAAAAGTTCTGGTAGATTATTGGCTAGAAAGCTAAGGTATTCTTCTCCTGACAACTTTGGGGGTAACTCGAAAGGCCCAATTACCTGATCGTCATGAATACCCGCCCAAATATTTATTTTAAAACGTTGTTGGTAATGACCTCCACGAATGGTATGAGGATTTTCTTGGGCTTACGTGTGAGTATTATGGAAATTTAATATCCCGTCTCGCGTAAAAGTACATTCGTCCGTCGCTAGAATATACAGGGTGTCCACAAAGTTGGGGTTTTCCTTTTCAGAAACAACTACCCTTGAAATAACAAAGGTAATGTGTAGTGAAACGAGGGCGACCAAGTAAAAAAATAAAGGAAAAAGTACTCACTCTCCAGTTGATGAGAAGGGCTAAGTACGTATCTGCCCGAAATCATACCGCTCCAACAGAAAATGAAATCAGCTGATGCGCTACCGAGCAACCGCAGGGGGTGGTGCAAACCACGAACAGAGGTAACAAATATGACGGCGTTGCCGCGTTTTCAGCTTTTAGGTGAACGTACTTTATAGGTATTGTTCGAAGTTATCGTCGTTTGATTCAAAAACACAGGTGCGTGCACGACGTAGCCAAGCATCGGTGCAGGCTTTGAGAATGGAGTCCCTCCCACGAATGAAAGCACCAGCTTGTTCAAATCTGAGACCAAGTTCGTCAACCGTATGCACTTCAGTTTTGTACACTAAGCGTTTCATTTCTCCCCAAAGAAAAAAATCACATGGTGTTAAGTCTGGGGATCGCGGAGGCCACGCTATGGGTCCATTACGTCCGATCCACCTATTCGGAAATAATTCATTCAAAAACTCACACACTTCGCGTCTAAAATGGGGCGGTGCACCATCGTGCAGAAACCACACTTAATGACACATCTTCTAACAAGGAAGGTAAAATGTTGCGTAAAAAGTCTAGGTATTGCATCCCGTCCAATCGATTTGGGAGAATAAATGGTCCAATGAGCATATCGTTCACCATGCCAGGCCAAACATTCACCGAAAATGTTTGTTGAAAATGTGCCCGACGGACAGCGTACGGATTTTCTACTGACCAAACATGAGTGTTGCGAAAGTTATTCACCCCATTACGCGTGAACGTAGATTCGTCTGTCACCAGTATGCACTTCAAAAAGTCCGGATTATTGTAATGTTGATGCAACAATCACTCACAAAACCGCACTCTTGCTGGAAAATCGTCAGGTTGAAGGGCTTGTACACGTTGGACGTGAAACGGATACAGCCCCTCTTCACGCAGCGTTTGCCACACTTTAGTTTTTGATACTTGCACTTCTCTAGCCACGTCTCTAGTGCTTGTTGAGGGATTCTCGTCTACACGATTACCTCTACACGCGTGACCGTAACCGTCGGTTGAAGGTTGCATACTGACCTGTCACACTGACCCCGACCCAGTTCTGTCGTCGGGTTGAGCCAGTGACCTTGTACCAGTCGGTGATGTAGCGGCTACAGGATGGTATTCAGATGTTTTTGATGTTGCAGAGCTCTTTATCTCGGTTCCCTTAAGACATTGGTGTATATGGTACTTAGCATAATTGCTTATATTTTCAAGATCTACACGTCGTGTAAAGGAAAACCCCAACTTTGCGGACACCCTGTGTTTAAAAAAATCCGGATTTTCAATGTTTCTGTGCAAAAACTACTGACAGAATGTGAAACAAATAAATAAATAAATAAATAAATAAATAAATAAATAAATAAATAAATAAATAAATAAATAAATAAATAAATAAATAAATAAATAAATAAATAAATAAATAAATAAATAAATAAATAAATAAATAAATAAATAAATAAATAAATAAATAAATAAATAAATAAATAAATAAATAAATAATGAAAATTTAATGTTTTCTATAAATTGTGTTTAGGTACCAGTTCGCTCCAATGAACCCGCTATGGCACGGTATCCTCGGCTTCACGATCGGAGTCTTGGGTTTCATCTCCGTGGTAGGCAATGGCATGGTCGTCTACATCTTCCTCAGCACTAAACCGCTTCGGACACCTTCCAATCTGCTAGTTGTCAATTTGGCCTTCTCCGACTTCCTGATGATGTTCACCATGTCGCCGTCTATGGTTATCAATTGCTACCATGAAACGTGGGTCCTAGGTAAGAAAGGCTTGTGTTGCCAACGCTACAGTGGGTGCTTAAAAAAATTATAGACTTGAAAAAAAATCGATAAAATCCACATGCCATCACTTTTATTATTTTGTGATTTTTTTTATAATTTGGACCGATTTACAATAATGGCGAATGTGCCGCTTATAGTTCTCAGAGTAAAATTTCGAAGAATCGTTATATGAAAGACGTATTTGGTTAAATCACCTTGTAGGAAGGTGTTGGGCGGTGTCACGTTACTGTTGACCATGGTCTTTACAAGGTCAAGTTGATTGTTATACAGGGTGTTTGTTGCATCGTTTGCCAAATTGAAATGGCGGACAGGGGAGGTCTTTTTCTATCACCCCAGGTCCCTCAAACAGTTTTTAGCCCAACGGCATTAATTATGTAGATTTTTTAATTTTTCTAGTAAAAACTCTAAAATGTAATAACACAGTGAAATAAAAAAATAAAGAGTATGTCCACCTAATGATTAATTTATCTTAATGGGTGATGTACCAATCTTACATAATCAACATTACTCACAAGAGGATACAAAGACGAACAAAAAAATTTAAGTCGTCTCAATTTTGAATTTCTGTAAAAAAAACTAAAAACGTTCTTAGAATTCTTTTAAAAACTACTCTAGTTTATCCCGATTCTAACGGAAAATCAATGGAAAGTAATGTCTGTACTCTTAAAATATGGTAAGGATATAACAAAAAATCCAATAAAATTCTCCAAACAATTCGATGGCAAATATGTCTAGCGAAAGGTTCGACTACATGACAAAGCACGATCGGGATATCTCTGGTGATAAATTCGTCTGGCTTGCTCACCATTACCGTCGGCAAGGCCATATACTTAATGCATTTCCGCCATTTCTGCATTTGAAAATTCACCATTATTAACAAGATTGTAAAAACTAAATAATGAAAAAGATGTCACAGCGAACACATTTGAATAACAAAGACTTGTCAGATGTGAAAAGCCAGTGATATATTCCAGAGCAACTAGATATTTTTTGCATTCTTCAATTATTACATTAATTTTCTCGGACAATAGAACGGTTTTTATGTTTTTACTCAAAAATGGCGCATCGAAGGAAAACAATTCAAGAGAGATCATTTGTTTTAAATTGAACGGAAAATTCAATAATAATTTTTCTTTGGCAAAAAACCATTGGTGTACTACTTTTTTCTTAACAAATATCGAAGTCAATACCCGTACGTACCCCACTGTTAAAGCTAAAAATTATTCATGCACTGAAAGATATGCAACTTTAATAACTTTCACTACGTACTAAATATCAGTGAAATATCTTAAGCGGTTCTGAAAATATTAATTAATTTCCATTATTTTCCTAAAACTTCAACACCCCGAGTTTTTGTAAGGAAACATTTTTGGACCATAGTTTATAGAGCAAACTGACATTAATTTTTCATGCAGATTCACAACCTGAAATATTCGCATATCATTAAGGAACACCCTGTATAGATTTTTCCGCGACGATTTGACATTCCATATGGATATCAAAAACTACCAGGACTACCTTGTTGAAACGTTCAAGCAAACATTGCACGAGATGGTTTTTTGAGTAATAATTCAGTCGTTTGCAATACTTGAGGTAGTATATTATGACATATAGCAAAAAAATAGTTTTATAGAATATGCAGATTGATATGCACTTAGTTTGTTCTAGAATGATTTGAAAAACAAATTTGTCATAATTTAACCAGTGTAATCTCCGAAACCGTAAGAGATACAGGTCGGCTTAATGATGGCAGTCGCCCATTTACATATTTTATAAAATGAATTTGAAAATACACGTAATAGGGAACGAATATTCCCAAAACTGTTTCTGGATTTGCTTGAAATAGGATTTTAAAATAAACCTGACATTGCCATTTTTTGATCTTTGCAAGGTGGCATAAATAGAATATCCAATTTTCATCTCTTATCCCCGTTGCAACTTTGATTTTTCTTATGTATGTCATTATTGCATAGGCTTTTAATTTGATTTCAAATACATACATACATGTCATACAATTTTGTAAAATAAAATGTTCCCTGAGTAATATAGTCATTTATACTAAGTGATATATAAATCCGAACACCCAGTTTAAATGGTTTTATTTTAATAAAAGTTGGTGAATGTATTTATCTTACTGTAAATAACACGTGAAAAAATTTTCAGCCTTATCAGTTGGACATTCCGGTTTTTATACTGCTTTTTTTTTAATTCACTAACGCTCTAAAAATGAATATTTCAGCCGCAGTAAAGAATCAACGTTGGCGGATTTTGGTTCTTGACATCCTTTACGATCGGTTACGATGCCTAGAGTACGGAGACCTGTACGATTTCGTCAACTTAGTGAGTTTGATAGGGGCCGTATAGTGGAACTTCGGGAAGCTGGACTTTCTTTTCGGGTAATTGCTGTTAGAGTGCAAAGAAGTGTAGACACTGTGGTTAGGTGTTGTCAGGCATGTCTTCGAGAAGGCCGTACGCAAAGAGCAAGGGGCACTGGATGCCGCCGTAGAACAACAGACCGTGAAGATCGCCGCCTAAGATTATTGGCCTTAAGGGACCGTTTGTCCACTACCAGGTCCATTGCAAATGAATGGTTTGCAGAACACGGAAGACCTATTGGCATGCGAAGTGTTTACCGACGAATGTGAAATTTTGGCTTGTTTTCATACCGGCCACACTGGGTCCTCCCTTTAACTCGAGAACACCGACGTAATCGCCTTGAGTGGTGCAGACAACGGTCACTCTGGGATCAGGAATGGAACAGTATTGTCTTTAGTGACGAGTCTCGATTTTGTTTAGGCATGCACGATGGTCGTGCCAGGGTTAGAAGGCGACGTGGTGAAAGGAGGAATCCACAGTTTTTTGTTGAAAGACATGTTCATCACACTGTTGGAGTTATGGTTTGGGGTGCTATAGCTTATGGTTCCAGGTCACCTTTAATCTTCATCAGAGGTAACATGAACGCGCAGCGTTATATCCACGAAGTTCTAGAACCCCATCTTTTACCCTATCATGACACCCTGGCAGATCCAACTTTCCAACAAGATAATGCCCGAACACTTGTTGCAAGAGTCACAATAGACCTCAACATAATGATGTCACATTGTTACCATGGCCACCAAGATCTCCCGACTTCTCCCCAAATGAGCACGTGTGGGATATGTATGATGGGTAGGAGATTGCTCAATTTGCAACGTCCTCCTCAGACTCTAGAAGCACTTCGAGAGGAGTTGGTGGTTGCCTGGAATGAGATACCACAGGAGGACATTGACCACCTGATCAGAAGGCGCGTTGGAGAATGCGTAGCACATCAGGGTGCATCCACACATTATTAAAGGTCAAAGGGCTTTAAAGCAGTGCAATCATTTTGGAATTTTTATCATTTACTTATTATGCTTCATTAAGTACTTATACAAAATTTTATTAAAATAAAACCATTTAAACTGGGTGTTCGGATTTATATGTCACTTAGTGTATTTCCTAGAATATCAAAGATTATAACATAATTTCTTATCTAATAGATATTTATTCAGCTTGTGTAGCACCTTGAATGAGTAACTTAATTTTTGTAAAGAATGATATCTCCATTTCATTTTTGCCAAGCTAGAGCACGTTAAATTTTCGAGAACGGGTGCATTTTGGACAAAAATGCTAAAATGTCGGAGCTTGGGCTTTCAAAGATCAATCAAGTACAAAAATAGAAAGAAAAATGTCACTGAAAGCTCAAAATTCCTACGTTGTGGAATACTGAAATGCAAGATACTCATAAACACGTTCAACTTGAAATTTGAGTTATTTTCAGGACAGAAAAACCCTCTTATCGACCCCGATTCTTTTCCTCTGTAATATCCTGTACTAAAATATGGATATTTGTTTGCAGGTCCGCTATTCTGTGAACTATACGGGATGTTCGGTTCGTTATTTGGATGCGGTTCCATTTGGACGATGGTCTTCATAGCGCTGGACAGGTACAATGTTATCGTGAAAGGTCTCAGTGCCAAACCTCTCACTAAAAAAACTGCCATGCTAAGAATACTCTTCATCTGGGTATTCTCTGTCGGATGGACCATCGCCCCAATGTTTGGCTGGAACAGGTAAGCAACAAGTAATGCCCGGGCCTTCATCCGGCTTCGATGCCGGAGCCGTTCATTTCGGCTGGTCCAGATCACAAGGACTTGATCTGGCACGAAAACATCTCGCTAACAGCGGCAACCGCTGGGAAAATGCAAGGCTAAGAAGTACTTTTCTCCCCATCACTCTATACAAGACCCAGATAACGCCTAGCCTCGAGTGCTGCTCACATGTTTGGCAGCTGCTTCGGTATAAAAAACTTCTTTCTTCAGTACGAGCTCCCACTAGAAAGTGTAAGGAAGACGTAGCTTGAGAAATAAAATGTTCTTAACACTAGTCATACCATAACTGGTCGAAAGACCGGCAGGGCTATTACGAAAAAAAAACTGTATAATGTCAAAAAACCGATAAAATGTCGACTTGTTGACTAAGTAGGCTAGTGTGAAAATATACTAAGTGACATATAAATCCGAGTACCCAGTTTAAATGGTTTTATTTTAATAAAATTTTGTATAAGTACTTATATAATAACACTGAACAACAAATTTTAGTTTTTTAATTGTATCTTGTGGGCAAAGTGTACTTCTTTGTTAATTTTGGGGCGCTGAATCCAAAATGACAATGAAATAAAAAAATTGGTTGCGGTTTAGAGAAAAAACTTTTTATTTTTAAGCATATATTAAAAAGTAACAAGATTCATATACTTATAAGAATCACTATATGCGCTGTCTTTTTGCTGTTCTTTTATGGATCGTTTCTGGAGCATCTCTACCAAGAGTCCAACAGTAGTCTGCAAGCATGGAAGGATTCCACTTTCCCTGGTACCTTTTTTCCATTGTTGAAATATCCTGATGAAAACGTTCGCCGTGCTCATCACTTACGGCTCCGCAATTGTCAGGAAAAAAGTTCAGGTGTGAGTGTAGGAAATGTATCTTAAGAGACATATTACAGCCCATCTTTTGATACGATGACAGCATATTTTTGACAAGGGTTCTATAGTTGTCAGCTTTTCTATTTCCCAAGAAATTAGTGACCACCAGACGGAAATCATTCCAAGCAGTTTTTTCAATACCTGTTAAAGTGTTTTCAAACTGTGTATCTTTCAAAGTATTTCGAATCTGTGGCCCAACAAAAATACCTTCTTTAACCTTTGCCTCACTTAGTCTTGGATTTCTGACGCAGGTATTGAAAAGCTGACCCATCTCTATCTAATACCTTGACAAAGTTTTTCATTAGGCCCAACTTGATATGCAGTGGTGGTAATAAATTTTTTTTGAATCTACTAATGGCATATGCTGTACATTTTTTTGACCAGGCTCTAGGAATTGACGAACTGGCCAGTTTTGTCTGGTGTAATGAAGTGCCTTTGCCCGACTGTCCCATTCACACAAAAAACAGCAAAACTTTGTGTAGCCTGCAGCTAGGCTACAAGTAAAAGTGCAACAACTTTCAAATCGCCACAAATATGCCATTGGTGCTCATCGTATTTTATGCATGTCAATAGGTACTTCATATTGTCATATGATTCTTTCATGTGAACTGCATACTCTACAGGAAGAGATGGTAAAATATTTCCAATATGCAATAACACTGCCTTTAAACTCAATGTTGAACTGTCTATAAACAATCTCCATTCTTCTGGGTTATAGTTTATATTTAAAGCCGCCAGTAAGCCGTTAATGTTACTGCAGAAAACCAAGTTATTCTCCATATTGAAAAATGGTTCTAAGTCTTTGTGGCGTTTACGAAAAACACATACCGAAACATCGTCTTCCAACAAGTTCCACTGCTGAAGTCTTGATCCAAGTAACTCTGCCTTACATTTTGGAAGTTCTAAATCTCTTACAAGATCATTTAATTCTGACTGTGTTATTTTGTGCGGTTGGTGGCATGACGTGCTCGGTATAAAATCAGGATCTCTTGACGTTGATGGCATATCTTCTTCCTGACGAATCACTCGATCGCCATGATCTGATTCGTTTTCTGATTCGCAAGTGTGGGATTCTGGAGGTTTTGGAATAGGATTTTCGTCACTGTGAGGCACAGGTCTCATCGCAGATGGTATGTTTGGGTAGTTAATAACCGATTTTTTTCTTCTTGGACATACCTGTGGCTTGTCCAACACAAGGTACCATGCACAGCAAAGCGCATAGACCGTTTTTTGCCATTTAACCAGCTCCTCAGACTTGAAGCACATGTATTACAGCAGATGTGGGGTGCCCACTATTTGTCTTGAGTTTACAACCGAAATAAAGCTGATATGCCTTTGTTATTAGTGGAGTAATAGACCGTCTCTGAGACGCAAAAGTCACATCACCACACACGTAACAAAACTGATCTGGATTGTTTACACACTTTCGAGACATCTTGCATGAACGCTGTCAGCCAACTGAGGAAAAAATGGCTAATATAAAACAATATAATGTACACGTATGTATAACGTTACACAATCATGCCGATTACATCATCTTTCCTTGCCGAATATAAAAATGTAGTACGTGCATTCTTGTGAATTACAGTATATTAACACTGTCACAGCAGGAACACATATAATTACCGTATCTCTAAAACTTGAACTAATATTGAAAAAATAAGTTTCATTCCGGTTTTAGCACATTAAAAATAGTAATATTTTGTTGATTTTATTTAGGATATGTTTTGGCTGTTGATCGGTGTAATAAGTAAATGATAAAAATTTCATAATGATTGCACTGCTTTAAAGCCCTTTGACCTTTAGTAATGTGTGGATGCACCCTGATGTGCTACGCATTCTCCAACGCGCCTAGGCATGCTTCTGATCAGGTGGTCAATGTCCTCCTGTGGTATCTCATTCCAGGCAACCACCAACTCCTCTCGAAGTGCTTCTAGAGTCTGAGGAGGACGTTGCAAATTGAGCAATCTCCTACCCATCATATCCCACACGTGCTCAATTGGGGTTCTAGAACTTCGTGGATATAACGCTGCGCGTTCATGTTACCTCTGATGAAAGGTGACCTGGAACCATAAGCTATAGCACCCCAAACCATAACTCCAACAGTGTGATGAACATATCTTTCAACAAAAAACTGTGGATTCCTCCTTTCACCACGTCGCCTTCTAACCCTGGCACGATCATCGTGCATGCCTAAACAAAATCGAGACTCGTCACTAAAGACAATACTGTTCCATTCCTGATCCCAGAGTGACCGTTGTCTGCACCACTCAATGCGATTACGTCGGTGTTCTCGAGTTAAAGGGAGTACCCAGTGTGGCTGGTATGAAAACAAGCCAAAACTTCTCATTCGTCGGTAGCACTTCGCATGCCAATAGGTCTTCCGTGTTCTGCAAACCATTCATTTACAATGGACCTGGTAGTGGAGAAACGGTCCCTTAAGGCCAATAATCTTAGGCGGCGATCTTCACGGTCTGTTGTTCTACGGCGGCGTCCAGTGCTCCTTGCTCTTTGCGTACGGCCTTCTCGAAGCCATGCCTGACAACACCTAACCACTCTAACTGCAATTGCCCGAAAAGAAAGTCCAGCTTCCCAAAAGTCCCACTATACGGCCCCTATCAAACTCACTAAGTTGACGAAATCGTACAGGTCTCCGTACTCTAGGCCAACGTTGATTCTTTACTGCGGCTGAAATATTCATTTTTAGAGCGTTAATGAATTAAAAAAAGCAGTATAGAAACCGGAATGTCCAACTGATAAGGCTGAAAATTTTTTCACTTGTTATTTACAGTAAGATAAATACATTCACCAACTTTTATTAAAATAAAACCATTCAAACTGGGTGTTCGTATTTATATGTCACTTAGTATAGTTCATTCCGCGCTTGCTACATTATATGCGTTGTTTTTTATTAGCGATGGGAAAAGCCCAAAATTCAGTATTTTGCTTGAATGATTTTCAAATTCAACTTTAGAAATAATCGGCAAACTGGAGATTCTAGAGCATAAAAAGACCTTTAATTTTGGTTTTTGATAATTAAAATCGATAAACAATTAAGCTACATACGGGGCTTCTTAGCAATACTGAATAAACGCTTATAACTATTATATTTAAAAAAGAGCTACTTTTTTTAATTCATATCTTCTTTATTTATAAACATTAAGACTCGAAATTTTCTCAGATTTTAATCAAGGATCTTAATTTTATGATACAATTTATAATTTTATTATAAGATCAAAGTTCTTTAAGAAATAGCCACCTAAAGTGAAGTTACTCGCGTAAGTATTTCCGGGTGACATGTGCTAAACTTTTTTTCACCTTTTTTATCTCACCTCGACTAACAAGTGAGTATGAAATCAACGACAAGCTGACTCCTTGTAGGAAAATCAACATAGTGTCATAAAAAACCTACATAATGTCAAAGAAAATCGACATAATGTCACTTTTCAGATTACGTAGTATCCCTGCTGGCATTGGAAATGCAAATCTCTTATCGCTTTTGCAGATTTTTGCTATTAATTATATTATCTGATACACATTTTTGTTTAATTACGATAAAGTTATCCGGAAACGTAAAGTCCAATCATTTGACTGGCTACTGTTAAAATAGTATGCATAAAGTGTTAGTATGTTTAGTTTTAATAGACTGACCGTTTTTTGGAAAACAAGGGACGTGTGTAGTTTTTGCTTTTCAAAACATTTCTTCATATACATTATGCTCCCCTGCTGTTCAATTTCATATCGCCAGCACATTCCGCACGAACTAAACATGAATCCTGAATTTGGCTATATGGGCGCCAACGTTCTTCGGATACAGGATGATTCAGTACACAGTGGAAATATTTCTAGTGTATAAAGTATATAAAAAATAATATAAAAAGTTCATATGCCTAAAAATCTAAATTATCCCTTACCGAGTTACGGGTATTGAAAATTATCATTCCGAAACAGAAAAGATGTATATTTTCGGATTAAATTAAGGTGTTGACTAACACTGTACATAACAATTTTGCAACATATGGGCTTCCGCCAGCTTTATCTCTCTCGCGCGACAATTAAAAATCAAAGGTTTACAATAACAATACCGCCTGAAATGTTTAAGAACTTTCTTAACAAATGTTTGAAGAATATTTGGGAACTTTGGCAACATTAAGATGTTCGTTTTTTATGTTATTTTAAAGGTCCAAGGTGTTACATTTCGCACTTATTCAAATATTAAACCTCTTATATAGTATCTCGAAAGCAATGAACTTTAGAGAAATATTGATAAGAACAAGAATGACCCAAAAAATTTAAAAAATTACCCGGTATGAAAAAACAATTTGTTAAAAAAATGTTTTTACAACTTTTGACGCAATTTTGGGCATGTCAACAAGCGGAGATATTTCTTCAACCATGAGGAAGAATTTAACAAACTTGTGTTTTGAATGAAACCGCGAATAAGCAACATCTGACTTGAAATTTCCTATAGAATAACTATGATCACGATCATCAGTCACTGATAATTAACGATTCGTTATTTTAAACATAGCTTTTCTGAAAAGGAAGGTGTCAATTTTCAGAACTCAACCATAGTATTTCAAACAGCCTCCTGAATTTACCGGGTGCGCCATCTTTTATGTCGGTATCGAAACATCGAATGACTCTGATATTTACCAACCGAGTGATTTGGTTATACGTGTTCCTGAAACGTCAATTTATTACAATTTTAGTCATGAATCCGTTTACACCGAAACAACGCGCGGAAATAGTCACAATGTACATTGAAAATCGTCGTACAACCACCGTCTGACAACACTATCCGTCGTTTGGTCAGTGGTCATAGACAGCGTTGCCCAGAACCCAAAAGTGCCGTATCGTCACCGCGCTCAGCATTTTGGCATCAGTGGAACCACGTTGCGGCGCATTTTGAAGGATGATTTGCATTTGTTCCCTTATAAGGTGTGGTTAATATAAAAAATATTGCCAACTGACCGTCCACGTCGCTTGGAATACGCCCAAACAGTCGCTTGCATGGTTGATGCTGAATCTGATTTTTGGAAGCAAATTGTGATGACCGACGAGGCCCATTTCACGCTCTTTTGCGGCATTTAAGCAAAACTGTCGAATTGGGGGGAAGGAAAATCCACATCAGATCCACAAAATGCCGTTGCATGACCGAAAAGTGACTGTCTGGGCCGGCGTTTGCGCCAAAACCATCATTGAGCCATTTTTCTTCAACGCAAACGAAACAGTCGATGGAAATCGATATCGGTGGATGTTGGCTCATTATGTCACAAATGCGTGAAAAAGGTCTTGATGGTTATTCGTTCCAACGCAATGCAAATTAAACAATCCAGTTTCTGCAACGAAAATTCCGTGGACGTCTGATGTCAAAAAGAGGTGACATTGACTGGCCACCCAGCTCTCCAGATTTGTCAACACCGGACTTCTTCTGGTGGAGTTATTTGAAAAGTCAAGTGTACGCCAGCAAGTCCCAAACTACTGAACAATTCAAGGCAAACATCCGCACCGCAATCGCCGCTATACCACCAGAGATGCTCGAAAAAGTAATGAAAAACGCAGCAAAACGGACACATTTTGTTTTGGCCAATAAAGGTGGCCACTTGATAGATGTTGTTGTTCAAAAACTAGTCCCAATACATTGTAAAGGATCATATTTAATAAAAATACCCGATATATAGAAATCAGTTTTTCGTGTTATATCATGTTTACATATCGACATAAAAGATGGCGCACCCTGTATACAGGGTGACTTGTAATGTCACGTATTCCTGTTAAGGGGTGATAGATTAGGTCAGAAGCAACCGATTTTGTCCTATAATGTCCTATCCAGAAGTTAACCGTTTTTGAGTTATTTGAATTTTATTTATTTTATTTTTTATTCCGATTTCAGACGGTTAAATTTGAAATACAAAAAAACTACATGTTTGATTTTGAGTTTTTTATTATCGTCGCATGGAGGACATTCCAATAGTTCATAATAAGTACTAAAATGTTGAAAAAGTTTTAAAATTATTCTTTTGAAATGTATTTATTTTCTTATTCGATAAAAAATGCAATTTTCTGAAAAAAATCTCCTAGTAATGAAACGTGCAAATTATGTAAATAATATCTCTATCTAACAAGCTTTCATTTGAGGTATAAAAGTTACAAGTAACTCAAGTACAAAGACATAAAATTAAAAAAAAAAAGAGTAAAGTTGTACGAACGATAATTACGTAGGATAAATAAAAGGCTTTTATTTTAATTACAGTTTTATTTAATTACATTTCCTTTAGTATTTTACAGATTCTGCTCAAATTGTAATCCCCTGTTACGAATAAACGCCCGCATTCTCTTACGTAATTCACTTTTGGTAACTCTAGTTGTTAAGCGGCTTTTTATTTGGTCAGCTGCACTGATTATCCTTGTAATTAATTCATCGCGCGTTGGTACGGGCCAAACATCGTACAGCAGGCTTTTCATATGTCCCCACACATAGTAATCCATCGGTGTGAGATCTGGGCTTCTTGCTGGCTAGGCAATGGGTCCGCCTCTGCCAATCCATTGATTTGGAAATAAAGAGTGTAAATATGTCCGTACTAATCTACTGTAGTGTGCGGGACAGCCGTCGCGCTGGAACCGTATATTATGTCTCGTCGCCAATGGGACGTCTTCCATTAATGGAAACAAGTGATTTTTCAAGAACTCTTCATACACTTCTCCATTTAAATTGGCGGGCAGAAAATGAAGTCCACTGAAAACCGGCTCTGAGACCCCGTGGGTCTTATTTTTCGGGGGTTTAAAGCTTCTTTATCAGCCCAGTAATGAGCATTATGGTGGTTAGTGATCCCGTCCTTATCAAACATCGATTCATCGGTCCACAGAATTTTCCTAAAATAGTCTGGATCTTCTCTATCTGCATGTAACATGTACCTGCATAAATCTAATCGTCTTGCAGGATCGCCCTCTTCAATCACATGCACAGGCGTGTAGTGATAAGGGTATAATCTTGCAGTATGCACAGTAAACCATACTTTGTATTGTGATATACCCAACTGAGCAGCCACAATGCGCGTAGATGTAGTAGGGTCTTCCTGAAACACACGAAGGATTTCCTCTTCATCTTCAGGAGGATAGACTAGGGTTCGACCAGCATCACTATGTTGCCTCTGAACACGTCCGGTTTGGCGGATGCGTCGATACACAGAGTCAAACACAGTAATATGAGGTGTTTGGCGATTCGGTAAACGTTCACGGCGGGCAGCTGCAGAATCGCCGTTACAGAGTCCATAACACTACATTATGTCTGCTTATTCTTTATTTGTAAAAGTTTGCCCGTGCTCGCTATGGCGAGGTCCTGGCGGATCTTCTGCGTCTGCCATGATGATAAAGAAACCACTCGAAATGAACTGGGAAACTCGAAAATAATAATCGTGCGTAAAACGTGTGCGCGTACGCAGTAGTTGATACCAACCAAACCTAATTCTCACTCGGCGTGCGGCGATGGCGTAACTACAATGATGAATAATAACAGCCCTCTCTCTCTCTCTCTCTCCTCCACTAAGTCAGCTCTTCTCGTTCGCTTCCTCGTCCAGCCGATGCCATAAAATAATCATGGCATGCGAGTCCTTTGAGGACAGTAACGACTTGTTCAAACAGGTACTACAAATTCCTTAAAAATCCAGCCTCTGTGGGTGTCATTGTTGTTTCTCTGCATGTACTTCACATAATTTAACGCTTAATACCTCAAATGAAAGCTTGTTAGATATAGATATTATTTACGTAATTTGCACATTTCATTACTAGGAGATTTTTTACAGAAAATTGCATTTTTTATCGAATAAGTTAGTAAAAAAAAAAAGAAAATGATACATTTAAAAAGCGTAATTTTAAAACGTTTTTAGCTTTTCAACATTTTATTACTTATTATGAACTATTGGAATGTCTGCTATGCGACGATAACAAAAAACTCAAAATCATGCATGCAGTTTTTTTGTATTTCAATTTTAACCGTCTGAAATCGGAATAAAAAATAAAAAACTTAAAATTCAAATAACTCAAAAATGGTTAACTTTTGGATAAGACATGATAGGACAAAATCGGTTGCTTTTGACCTAATCTATCACCCTTTAACAGGAATACGTGACATTACAAGTATATAGTCAAGTTTCATGACTTCGAGTTCGATTATTTTTTGGCGAAGGAAGAGAAGATTTTGAAAAGAATGTATGTAACACCTCAAACTACCTGGATAAATACACCAAAAAGTGTTTGATCTTTTAAATGTATCCAAATAGTAGTAGTTTGATATATTGAGACCAAACCATCACATACTTTATTCTAGATACGTCCCAGAAGGCAACATGACGGCATGTGGAACAGACTATTTGAACAAGGACCCAATCAGCAGAAGCTATATCGTCGTCTACGCAATGTTCGTATACTTCATACCGTTGTTCACCATCATCTACGCATACTTCTTCATTGTGCAGGTAAAAATATTGAATATGTTTTGCCTAGCTCCCAACTTGCTTATAATTCATCAAATGTAACCTAATGAGAACAACTTTCACTACTTACCTGAGGAATCTTCATTATTTATCTCATTGCTCTAAGGACAAATTACATTTATCCCTTAGGTAAATAATGTTAATAAAAAAATTGTTGGGCACAGAATTATTAATGGTATTCGACCCTTTGAATGTTACTAGTATACTAAGTGACATATAAATCCGAACACCCAGTTTAAATGGTTTTATTTTAATAAAAGTTGGTGAATGTATTTATCTTACTGTAAATAACAAGTGAAAAAATTTTCAGCCTTATCAGTTGGACATTCCGGTTTTTATACTGCTTTTTTTAATTCACTAACGCTCTAAAAATGAATACTTCAGCCGCAGTAAAGAATCAACCTGTACGATTTCGTCAACTTAGTGAGTTTGATAGAGGCCGTATAGTGGGACTTCGGGAAGCTGGACTTTCTTTTCGGGCAATTGCAGTTAGAGTGCAAAGAAGTGTAGACACTGTGGTTAGGTGTTGTCAGGCATGGCTTCGAGAAGGCCGTACGCAAAGAGCAAGGGGCACTGAACGCCGCTGTAGAACAACAGACCGTGAAGATCGCCGCCTAAGATTATTGGCCTTAAGGGACCATTTCTCCACTACCAGGTCCATTGCAAATGAATGGTTTGCAGAACACGGAAGACCTATTGGCATGCGAAGTGTTTACCGACGAATGAGAAGTTTTGGCTTGTTTTCATACCGGCCACACTCGGTCCTCCCTTTAACTCGAGAACACCGACGTAATCGCCTTGAGTCGTGCAGACAACGGTCACTCTGGGATCAGGAATGGAACAGTATTGTCTTTAGTGACGAGTCTCGATTTTGTTTAGGCATGCACGATGGTCGTCCCAGGGTTAGAAGGCGACGTGGTGAAAGGAGGAATCCACAGTTTTTTGTTGAAAGACATGTTCATCACACTGTTGGAGTTATGGTTTGGGGTGCTATAGCTTATGGTTCCAGGTCACCTTTAATCTTCATCAGAGGTAACATGAACGCGCAGCGTTATATCCACGAAGTTCTAGAACCCCATCTTTTACCCTATCTTGACACCCTGGCAGATCCAACTTTCCAACAAGATAATGCCCGACCACATGTTGCAAGAGTCACAATAGACTTCTTTTAACATAATGATGTCACATTGTTACCATGGCTCCCAAGATCTCCCGACTTATCCCCAATTGAGCACGTGTGGGATATGATGGGTAGGAGATTGCTCAATTTGCAACGTCCTCCTCAGACTCTAGAAGCACTTCGAGAGGAGTTGGTGGTTGCCTGGAATGAGATGCCACAGGAGGACATTGACCACCTGATCAGAAGCATGCCTAGGCGCGTTGGAGAATGCGTAGCACATCAGGGTGCATCCACACATTATTAAATGTCAAAGGGCTTTAAAGCAGTGCAATCATTTTGAAATTTTTATCATTTACTTATTATGCTTCGTTAAGTACTTATACAAAATTGTATTAAAATAAAACCTGCCTGGATGCGGAAAGAAATTCGGGTTGTTATTTGGTTGTTGCCACGTCTAACCTTCCGAATTGCTGTTTGTGTTGGTAGTTTCAGTTTTAAATTATAAACGAATCGTAGATTTGGCAAACCCTAACGGGCAACATTTTGAACAGTTGATATTTTCGTGTGTTTTTGTTCTCTACAGATTGAACAAATGAAGATAGATGAACAAATTGAGATACATAAAGATTTTTTAATTTTCTCTAAAACTAATCGACTGATTTGAAAAAATCAAACCTCAAAATAAAGGACCTCGAAAGACCTTTCAAACAAGCTATTACTCGATACCCCTTGACACTTTAAAAATTTTTAATCAAACGACTCTGGGGGGCCGATTATGAAATGGAGTGAAGCAGTTTTTGGTTAAAAAGTTATCTCACTTGACAAATCTTTTTTTCGGCGTTTGTTTCAATCAGTGGTTTTCGATAAATCCGTGGTGGAAAGTTTACAAATGAACACCCTGTATAATTTTTTACCTTAGGTAGTGTCTCGGTGCTCAGCTTTAGCAATTGTTTGTGTCTACTGCGCATTAACGTTTAAATTATACAGGGTGTCCGCAAAGTTGGGGTTTTCTTTTCAGAAACAACTACCCTTGAAAGGTAATGTGTAGTGAAACGAGGGCGACCAAGTAAAAAAAAATAAAGAAAAAAGTACTCACTCTCCAGTTGACGAGAAGGGCTAAGTACGTCTCTGCCCGAAATCATACAGCTCCAACAGAAAATGAAATCAGCTGATGCGCTACCGAGCAGACGCCGGCGGTGGTGCAGACCACGAACAGAGGTAACAAATATGACCATCGTGCAGAAACCACATTGATTGTCTTACACTTGATGGCACATCTTCTAACAAGGAAGACAAAATGTTGCGTAAAAAGTCTAGGTATTGCATCCCGTCCAATCGATTTGGGAGAATAAATGGTCCAATGAGCATACCGTTCACCATGCCAGCCCAAACATTCACCGAAAATGTTTGTTGAAAATGTGCCCGACGGACAGCGTGCGGATTTTCTACTGACCAAACATGAGTGTGCGAAAGTTATTCACCCCATTACGCGTGAACGTAGATTCGTCTGTCACCAATATGCACTTCAAAAAGTCCGGATTATTGTCATGTTGATGCAACACTCACTCACAAAACCGCACTCTTGCTGGAAAATCGTCAGGTTGAAGGGCTTGTACACGTTGGACGTGAAACGGATACAGCCCCTCTTCACGCAGCGTTTGCCACACTTTAGTTTTTGATACTTGCACTTCTCTAGCCACGTCTCTAGTGCTTGTGGTTTTTTGAAGCGCAATCGGTTATATGGGTTCGTTTACCTCTACACGCGTGACCGTAACCGTCGGTTGAAGGTTGCATACTGACCTTACACACTGACCCCGACCCCCGACCCAGTTCTGTCGTCGGGTTGAGCTAGTGTCCTAGTACCACTCGGGGATGTCGCGGCTACAGGACGGTATTCAGATATTTTTGATGTTGCAGAGCCCTTTATCTCGGTTCCCTTAAGACATTGGTGTATATGGTACTAAGAAAAATTGCTTATGTTTTCAAGATCTACACGTCGTGTAAAGGAAAACCCCAACTTCGCGGACACCCTGTATAAAAAAAACATATCATTCATGTTGTGTATTTATAGGGATTTTTCATTGAAAGGTTAAACTAATTCTGCTTTTCATTAAAAAATAAACGAGCGGAACATTGCCTCCAGTCACCCTCTGTCCGTCACAAGCAGTCGTTGTTGGTTTTATTTAGAAATAAAGTATCGCAACATCTATTGATACACCCTTCGCAAGATTCAACTTCATTTCTTTTCAGGCGGTGGCCGCGCACGAGAAAAACATGCGAGAACAGGCGAAAAAGATGAACGTAGCCTCTCTGAGATCTTCTGAGGCAGCTCAGACCAGCGCCGAATGCAAACTGGCCAAAATCGCCCTGATGACCATCTCGCTCTGGTTCATGGCATGGACTCCTTACTTGGTCACAAACTTCGCGGGCATTTTCGGAAACGCCAAGATCAGCCCACTGGCCACCATCTGGTGCTCGCTCTTCGCTAAGGCTAACGCCGTGTACAACCCTATTGTGTACGGCATTAGGTAAGATATACGGGGTGGTTCATGAAGAAAGAAACTTTGAATAATATAGGCCCAGATCTCTTAGCAGTTTGTCTATCCCGATAAGCCATTGGTTACCATGCGACCGGTTTGAAGTTAGGAAAAATATATTTGTTTAGAAAACTTAACTAAAGGACCCTGCACAAATGATAGAAAATGGGCCCCAGTCGATTTACCTAAGAATTCAGTATAATATATACTAAGTGACATATAAATCTGAACACCCAGTTTAAATGGTTTTATTTTAATAAAAGTTGGTGAATGTATTTATCTTTCAGCCTTATCAGTTGGACATTCCGGTTTTTATACTGCTTTTTTTTTAATTCACTAATGCTCTAAAAATGAATATTTCAGCCGCAGTAAAGAATCAACGTTGGCGGATTTTGGTTCTTGACATCCTTTATGATCGGTTACGATGCCTAGAGTACGGAGACCTGTACGATTTCGTCAACTTAGTGAGTTTGATAGGGGCCGTATAGTGGGCCTTCGGGAACCTGGACTTTCTTTTCGGGCAATTGCAGTTAGAGTGCAAAGAAGTGTAGACACTGTGGTTAGGTGTTGTCAGGCATGGCTTCGAGAAGGCCGTACGCAAAGAGCAAGGGGCACTGGACGCCGCCGTAGAACAACAGACCGTGAAGATCGCCGCCTAAGATTATTGGCCTTAAGGGACCGTTTCTCCACTACCAGGTCCATTGCAAATGAATGGTTTGCAGAACACGGAAGACCTATTGTCATGCGAAGTGTTTACCGACGAATGAGAAGTTTTGGCTTGTTTTCATACCGGCCACACTCGGTCCTCCCTTTAACTTGAGAACACCGACGTAATCGCCTTGAGTGGTGCAGACAACGGTCACTCTGGGATCAGGAATGGAACAGTATTCCACAGTTTTTTGTTGAAAGACATGTTCATCACACTGTTGGAGTTATGGTTTGGGGTGCTATAGCTTATGGTTCCAGGTCACCTTTAATCTTCATCAGAGGTAACATGAACGCGCAGCGTTATATCCACGAAGTTCTAGCACCCCATCTTTTACCCTATCTTGACACCCTGGCAGATCCAACTTTCCAACAAGATAATGCCCGACCACATGTTGCAAGAGTCACAATAGACTTCTTTCAACATAATGATGTCACATTGTTACCATGGCCACCAAGATCTCCCGACTTATCCCCAATTGAGCACGTGTGGGATATGATGGGTAGGAGATTGCTCAATTTGCAACGTCCTCCTCAGACTCTAGAAGCACTTCGAGAGGAGTTGGTGGTTGCCTGGAATGAGAAACCACAGGAGGACATTGACCACCTGATCAGAAGCATGCCTAGGCGCGTTGTAGAATGCGTAGCACATCAGGGTGCATCCACACATTATTAAAGGTCAAAGGGCTTTAAAGCAGTGCAATCATTTTGAAATTTTTCTCATTTACTTATTATGCTTCATTAAGTACTTATACAAAATTTTATTAAAATAAAACCATTTAAACTGGGTGTTCGGATTTATATGTCACTTAGTATACTACTATGAACGGATACATGTCATCCACTTATGACGAAACATAAAATAACGTTGTCTGCGCTTGGTCGTGGTTACAGAGAGACATCTGTTGGATGCATATGGTATAAAACAAAAAATAATCCGAAATTTTTTATAAAATGGTCTTCAGGGTTCTCCTATAGAGATACAGATCTTTGACAGCCTGATCTTCAAACTGAAAAAAATCTACTTATGTTTGATATGGATAAAATGAGTCATTTTCGATACAGTTGTAACGTACTTATAATTCCATAGAGGAGGAAACTCGTCTAAATCAAAAGTACTTTATCGCACAAAAAAAAGTTATGGTGTACCACAAGGATCTGTCTCAGGATCCCTGTTATGTTCACTATATATCTGAGATTTAGAAACAGAGGTAAAACATGCCGCATACAATTTTTTTCCGACGATACTCAGATTTTCTGTTCATTTAGGAGCAATGACTTGATAGCAGCGAATAATAACATTAATCAAGATGTTGACCAAATTGAAAAGTTTAGTAGTAGTTGAGCCCTTTTAAGACAAATATGCGAGTATATTCAAATAAAACAAAAACCGAATGCTTTAAATTTGAAAGGTAATAAAATAGTTCCTGTGGATTATTCTAACATAAGAAACTATGTATTATAATGGATGATGATTTAAAATTTGTTGAAAATAAGGCTATATTACATAAATCTACGAGAAAGCAATTATGTGAATCTTTCTTGTTTTCAAAAATATCGTATTACTTAGTGGTTTACTATCTCTATTTATTTTTGTTTGAATTTTTAGTTTTTATACATCTCGTATATACAGGGTGGCCCATCCATGTGTGGACAAATACATTTTGGAAAAATATATTTATGGCATGTTATACCTGACATTTGAGGGCAGATTTCTAAAATATTGGCAATTATACAGGGTGTCCCAATTTTGACCTACATATCAAAGTTGTGATTTTTTAAATGGAATGCCTAAAATTTTATTGCATATTTGGATAAACCAATTCAAAAGAAGAATATTAATATAACATACTATGCGGTTTTGGTAATTAGCTACTGATATGTAAATTGTTTTGTCCAGAAAAACCGTCCACTTCGGCAACCTCGCAATCCGCCATTTTGAAATTTGGAGTGCTGAATTATGTATCAAATAAACGTACACACCTCAACTACTATCTTATTTGTTACTTTTTAAAATTTTCATTTTTGCTCATACAGGGTGGTCAAAAACACGCATTGTATTTTTACTCAAAAATTTTAAATGTTTTTTATAAGCTTTTTTTTGGCATAAGGTTTGATTCAGATAAAATCACTAGATTTTGAGTTATTGAGCTTTTAATAGAGCAACACACCAAAATTAAGGAAACAAAAGACAAACAGTGGGCTAGTTCCATATTGTCACTAGCGTACAGATTTGACGTAAAAACTAATAACAATCAGAACAGTACAAATCAGTTTCAAGCGTAATAAAGGAAAACAACTATAACAACAACATAAACAAACAACTATTACTATTCAAGACCTAATCTACAAAAACTGCTCGAAAATATCTAGCCTTATGCGATTTTACGACAAAAAAGACGTTAATCATTATTATTATTTGAAACTATGGCATTATTTCATGCGCTCTATATCCGTCCGAGAGATACCATTTTATTTTGGGTACAATGGGGCTTCTAGTGACGTTCCGATTTTTTTTGCAGCCATCCAAAATACAGGCAAGCGCTAGAGAAGAAATTCCCGTCACTTGTCTGTGGATCAGCAGGTGATGACAGCGTGTCAACTGCGACTGCAGCCTCTTCCGCAGACGAAAAATCGGTGACGGCTTAAATGATACAAACAACGACGAGAAAGGCGAATGAAAAGTTGAGCATCTTTTCACTGTTCTTCGCAGCGGTACGACGGATATTTTTTTACTACCGATGTTTTATTTTGTATATATATAGAGTTGTGATAATGTGTCCACGATGTTGTGAAGTTTTTTGTTAACAATAAACCCAGCAAGCATGATACGTTTTTTTTCACTAAACTGGGTAACTATCCTTTACGCTATGGCCATACCCTGTTATCCAAGTAACTTTGAAGACGGTACTCTCTCCTAAGATAAAATCAGCTCAGCGGACCTAGCCAGAAGGTTTATTTATTCACTGTTTACCATTACATACAAAAAACACCATTACATACAAGCTCAACTATAACTTGAAAAGTCAACTCGGATTTTGATGGAATATTCACACAAGGCTGCTACTATGCCAAGAACGAAACAGCTTTGGTTTTTGCAAATTGACCCAGTGGCAGCGGAGATACAGGCAAAAAGCGAAAAAATAAAAATACTTCATTGTTTGATGTTTCAGAGGCTGCGGATTATTTTTGAAAGATTTATCAGAGGTAAAAAATTGGGAGGTGGTGAATTTTAAGGAGGTGGGAAGGCTGTATCGTATTTTTTTAGAGGTAGAATACAGGGTGTCCCAATACTCTGTGGACATAGAAGTACCATGTATTCTTACACGCAAAATAGAAAAAATAGCCTGTTTTTATAAGAAACCAAAAGTAAAGTAAACAAAATAATGTTTTGAGCAAAAAAATAAGAGGATAGTTTTCGCCCTTCTCGAAGCCATTCGGTTTTTTTTTTGTAAAAGTCGAATACACTGATCAACAGCCAAAAAATATCCTAAATAAAATCAACAAAATATTACTATTTTTAATGTGGTAAAACCGGAATGAAACTTATTTTTTCAATATTAGTTCAAGTTTTAGAGATACTGTAATTATATATGTTCCTGCTGTGACAGTGTTAATATACTGTAATTCACAAGAATGCACGTGATACATTTTTATATTCGGCAAGGAAAGATGATGTAATCGGCATGATTGTGTTACGTTATACATACGTGTACATTATATTGTTTTATATTAGCCATTTTTTCCTCAGTTGGCTGACAGCGTTCATGCAAGATGTCTCGAAAGTGTGTAAACAATCCAGATCAGTTTTGTTACGTGTGTGGTGATGTGACTTTTGCGTCTCAGAGACGGTCTATTACTCCACTAATAACAAAGGCATATCAGCTTTATTTCGGTTGTAAACTAGGTGATCAAGACAAACAGTGGGCACACCACATCTGCTGTAATACATGTGCTTCAAGTCTGAGGAGCTGGTTAAATGGCAAAAAACGGTCTATGCGCTTTGCTGTCCCAATGGTTTGGAGAGAGCCTACAAATCATATTAATGATTGTTACTTTTGCATGGTACCTTGTGTTGGACAAGCCACAGGTATGTCCAAGAAAAAAAAATCCAAACATACCATCTGCGATGAGACCTGTGCCTCACAGTGACGAAAATCCTATTCCAAAACCCCCAGAATCCTACACTTGCGAATCAGAAAACGAATCAGATCATGGCGATCGAGTGATTCGTCAGGAAGAAGATATGCCATCAACGTCAAGAGATCCTGATTTTATACCGAGCACGTCATGCCACCAACCGCACAAAATAACACAGTCAGAATTAAATGATCTTGTAAGAGATTTAGAACTTCCAAAATGTAAGGCAGAGTTACTTGGATCAAGACTGCAGCAGTGGAACTTGTTAGAAGACGATATTTCGGTATGTGTTTTTCGTAAACGCCACAAAGACTTAGAACCATTTTTCAATATGGAGAATAACTTGGTTTTCTGCAGTAACATTAACGGCTTACTGGCGGCTTTAAATATAAACTATAACCCAGAAGAATGGAGATTGTTTATAGACAGTTCAACATTGAGTTTAAAGGCAGTGTTATTGCATATTGGAAATATTTTACCATCTCTTCCTGTAGGGTATGCAGTTCACACGAAAGAATCATATGACAATATGAAGTACCTATTGACATGCATAAAATACGATGAGCACCAATGGCATATTTGTGGCGATTTGAAAGTTGTTGCACTTTTACTTGGGCTACAACTAGGCTACACAAAGTTTTGCTGTTATTTGTGTGAATGGGACAGTCGGGCAAAGGCACTTCATTACACCAGACAAAACTGGCCTGTTCGTCAATTCCTAGAGCCAAGTCAAAAAAATGTACAGCATGTGCCATTAGTAGATTCGAAAAAAATTTTATTACCACCACTGCATATCAAGTTGGGCCTAATGAAAAACTTTGTCAAGGCATTAGATAGAGATGGGTCAGCTTTTCAATACCTGCGTCAGAAATTTCCAAGACTAAGTGAGGCAAAGGTTAAAGAAGGTATTTTTGTTGGGCCACAGATTCGAAATATTTTGAAAGATACACAGTTTGAAAACACTTTAATAGGTATTGAAAAAACTGCTTGAAATGATTTCCGTCTGGTGGTCACTAATTTCTTGGGAAATAGAAAATCTGACAACTATAAAACCCTTGTCAAAAATATGCTGCCATCGTATCAAAAGATGGGCTGTAATATGTCTCTTAAGATACATTTCCTACGCTCACACCTGGACTTTTTTCCTGACAATTGCGGAGCCGTAAGTGATGAGCACGGCGAACGTTTTCATCAGGATATTTCAACAATGGAAAAAAGGTACCAGGGAAAGTGGAATCCTTCCATGCTTGCAGACTACTGTTGGACTCTTGGTAGAGATGCTCCAGAAACGATCCATAAAAGAACAGCAAAAAGACAGCGCATATAGTGATTCTTACAAGTATATGAATCTTGTTACTTTTTTTAATATATCCTTAAAAATAAAAAGTTTTTTTTCTAAACCGCAACTAATTTTTTTATTTCATTGTCATTTTTGGATTCAGCGCCCCAAAATTAACAAAGAAGTGCACTTTTCCCACAAGATACAATTAAAAAACTAAAATTTGTTGTCCAGTGATATTAGGACGTCTAAAAAAACGCATGTGTTCATTCAAACCGGACTATCGGTACGAAAATATCCGAAAAAATGTCTTTTAAAAAGAAAAAATTGACGCCATCTCCGGACAAGCGAAGCATTTTTGGCTACAGGTAACTTATTTCCCATCGAGTTATTTTGAGTTTAAAAATACGTGGTGTCTCTGTCTGCTAATATTGCGACACCCTGTATACAAAGTCCATTTGTTCGGAATTTCGTGGGAAGTGCATAGTCAACCTACTTGATCATTTTTTGAAATAATCTTGTAAGAGTGTACATTATCAAATCCAATCCCGAAACAGCTCATCGCGTGCCGGACATCAGCGTAGGCCAAAATGATTTACGATCTTTCTGCCTAGCGAAGATTTATCGTGGCAATTGCCTTCAGTTATCATTGCATTTATCCGGTTTAGTTGGTCTACAAAGAGGGGCAACGCATCATGAAAATTGCTGCTTCTGCGATTTGTCCTTAATGCAACCGAAACGACTGTTCGGAGAACGACTCGACTGGGGTTTTTTTAATGGTTCCATGCGTTTCCCGGATGAAGTAAATAACAATACCAATAATACAAGCTATATGTACACACACATAATGTGTAGAGGTATATTCAAGCACATATGTGCAATATGGATGAGTCTCGATACGTGTGATATAAAATGCAGTCACATCAGTTGACTCCATTGTGTATAGCTAAAAAAATAGTTCTCAAAAATAAGAAACTTGTGTTGAGAAAAATTAGTATCCTAGTAAAATGTCTCTGGAAGGTTGTTGAAGATAAAGGTATGGATATTATGATCTAGTTGAAAGGGTAGTAGTTCGGTGCCTCCGAAGAGCTACGCTATAACTAAGAACACAATCAATATTAAAAACTGGTTACAATATTCAACTAGTTTGTATCTAAGAAACTCTGTCATGCCAAATAGCGCACCAAGATACGGCAAGATTGTGGCATTTTATCGGAAAAATTGCAGATTTGTCGCCATTATAGCATATAAATGGTGTATTTTAGTCGCTATTATGGTTTAATCCGGTGGATATAAAAAGAAAGGCAGAGAAATAAGTAAACATTGAGATCTACGGATTCCCAGGTACATCCAAGGAGATTCCTGAATTTCCAAGAAATCCAAAGTTACCTGAGCGAAAGATTTTTTGTTCCAATAAAGAATCAACCTTAATTGGAAATTCTGAAAATATCCAGACCGTAGCTTGTTCACTTCCAGCGAACGGCAGTGTCGACATCTATGAAGCAAGAATCCGATATATGCATTTCCTGACTAAGCCACCAACACAAGACTTATTTGCCAGCAAATTCTAAATCCGTATCTTGTTCTAGGGTTTAATCTTCAGGAATAAAGCATATAAGTATATGACCCGACCAGGTTGTCTCGTTCTGATTGCAGATTCGTGATCCAATCACTGGTGCTGCCTGATTTTGGAGGCTTAATATTCCGTATTATAGGGTCCGACCGGCTTGTCCATCTTCAGCTAGTGACGGTGCCAAAATTGTGTGTTGTACATCGCACCGACTATCGGAGGCAAGGAAAACAGCCGGCAAGCTCGTTCCCATGGATTCCTGACCCGATCTATTCGTCTTCAAGGCAAGGGGGGCTTGTGCCCAAGGATCTGGCTTAATAGGGCGCCCTCCCAAATACCCAAATAACAAACGAATTCCCCCTAACAGCAATATAGAGACCCAGATACTGCTCAGCTCTGGGGTCTTCAGCCGTAGGCTCCGAGATCCTTGTACGCCCAGGGAACCAGGAGCCCCTACGTAGCTTTAGATGGCCCTGAAACCAATCACTAGTACTGTCCAATTTTTAAAGCCTGATTCTCCGTACTCTAAGGTTCGACCGGCTTGTCCACCTTCAGCTAGCGACGGTGCCGAAATTGTGCATTGTACATCGCACCGACTAGCGGAGGCAAGGAAAACAGCCGGCAGCCATCGCCGTTGCCGAAAGATTCGGTCTGCGGGGTCGTACACCGTACTAGCAGCGGTGGGGTAAAGCAGCAGCAAGCTCCTTTCCGCGAGTTGGTAGTCACTAGAGTACTAGGTCTACTCCTCTTTCGTATAGGGGCCGACCGGCTTGTCCACCTTCAGCCAGCTACCGAGGCAGTTTTCGATTTGCCATACCGTATATCGTACTGGCTAGCGGCGG